TACTATTTACCATTGCCAGTTCCTATTTTCATTGAACTTATGTATTGCTGATGAAAAAAAATTGTGTTTAATGACGAGTTTTACACTCAGAAGTTTGGTATGGCAATGGGAAATCCCCTCTCACCTGTTCTTAGTAATTTATAAATGGAATTTTTTGAAACAAGATTGCTTAACACAATCTTTCCTAATAGAGCTAAGTGGAATAGATATGTTGATGATATTTTGTGTCTTATGCCTAATAAATATAGATATAATTCATTTCCTTGTTAAATTAAATAGTTCAGCTCATTCTATAATTTATATTGTTGAGTTCGAAGAAAATAACTTATTGCCTTTCCTAGATGTTTTAATTATTATGAGTAACAATGATTTTAAATTTTAAATTTACAGAAAACCAACAAATAACTGTTCTTATGTACACTATTGTTCTCCACATCAAGATAAAGTTAAACTGTTTTCTCATCAATGTTTTTGAGAGTTTTACGTATTTGTAGTCCAGAGTTCGTAGATGAAGAAATCTCAAAAATTTATGAAATAGCTAATGATCTATAATACCCAAAAAACTTTACTGATAAATCCTTTAAAATTGCCAGGAAGACTTTTTATTTTTTAAAAAGGGACAACCAACCTTATTGAACTAAAAATATGTAGGTTCTCCCTTACCATGAAAACTTTGTTGATATGCCATCTCTTCTTAAGACTTTTAATATCAAAGTTATGCTTAAAAATCTTGATACAGTAAAAAAAAATTTGATTAAAAATTCCCCCCAAAATGCTCAAGGGTGTTTCTATAAGATTCCTTGTAAAATATGTGATATGTAAAGTATGTTGAGCAGCAAGGTGACAGTTGCAGTAAAGATCCAGAAGATTAAGTAAAACTCTGACAACACGAGGAGTCGTTTAACAATCTGGAAAGGAAGTTTTTCCAGTCTTTCCTAATGCAGTTAATATAAAAGATTTCACTCCAATAATTAATTATTTAACCTAATAATAATGCAAATTGAATACATATATACATAATGACTATTTACAAAACTGAGCAATATTCATCACTAAAGACAGTGGAGAAATTAAGTACATCCCTTTGTCACATTAATAGTGGTGATAATCGTAATAAAACAAACTATAGTTAAAAGGTCAAACAAAGATGATGTAAGAATGTATGGAAACATCGTTTATAACATTGATAATAGAAAGTTAAAAGTGAGGAACGCATTTAACTGTTTATCTTACGCGCCAGGGAATGCTGATGTTAAAATATAGAAAGTAATATTCAGCCATTTAATACAATGAAAAAAAGTAGTATTTTTACCTGTTGAAACTCTTCTTTCTTCTGTCTAAAATTATAACAGAAGAAGTTATTTAAAACTCTGTGGCAACAATGATGCATTTAATTACAAAGGTCAAGAGAGACCTGAGCTTGCTACCATCTGCAGCTCATAAGACTGCCATCCCCACGAGCCCCTTTGAGGCGGGGTAGATGGCAGACCAGAGGCCTAGCTTCTCTCTACGAGCCCCGTGAGGGCGGGGAATGTGGCTAGGCCTGGGGACACTTGGTCCCAAAGATGAGGAGGTACTATACCTCCTCCCATGGGAGACTTAAGTCTCGAGACACTCCCCAGATAGGGAGCCAAGGCCGGGTCACCACTACTTGGAAAAGACCCGGGCCGGGAGAACACCGGCGAATAAAAAAAAAAAAAAAATTACCTTCTGAATTATATTTTTGTACAGATGCTTTATGCTGGTCAACAAGACACAAGTGTTGTGGTATGTGATGTATACCAAGATTTTTATTATATTTTTTTATTATCACACTGGCCGATTCCCACCAAGGCAGGGTGGCCCGAAAAAGAAAAACTTTCACCATCATTCACTCCATCACTGTCTTGCCAGAAGGGTGCTTTACACTACAGTTTTTAAACTGCAACATTAACACCCCTCCTTCAGAGTGCAGGCACTGTACTTCCCATCTCCAGGACTCAAGTCCGGCCTGCCGGTTTCCCTGAATCCCTTCATAAATGTTACTTTGCTCACACTCCAACAGCACGTCAAGTATTAAAAACCATTTGTCTCCATTCACTCCTATCAAACACGCTCACGCATGCCTGCTGGAAGTCCAAGCCCATTCACTTAAGTCATAACAAAGTTCAAAAAGGCATAATTGTCGATAAAATGAGACCTGGGCACAATATTATGAATTGAGTGAATCTGATGATATGTACACAGAGCAAGAACAACATTATCAAGTTACATTAAAAAAAATCCGAAGGGAAGGAAAGATTGATTAAAACTTTTAATATTCATCTTCCGTGAAGACCAATATTCATCTTCCACACAGTAGCTGGAAAATCAATCAAACTCTCATTTCCAGCCAGTAAGAAGCTGATACAAATTTGCTGATATATAGGATATATGTTGCAATAAGCACCATATATAGGATATATGTTGCAATAAGCACCATATATAGGATATATGTTGCAATAAGCACCATATATAGGATATATGTTACAATAAGCACCATAACTTGAGCTTGAGCTATGATTTAAAATACTTTGTGGTGGAAGAGGAGGCATGGTGCCCATGCAGTTACCACCATGATGCATGGCAGGCTACCATCTTCAGACGGAGCCTCGAAAATTCTCAAGATGTTAAAGACCACTATCAAAGATATGATAGATAACTCAACGATAAGGGAACTCTTAATTCCAATAGATGACATGTTCTCACGCCTTAGATCTGCCTAGTCTAATATTTCATCAATTTTACTCGAGTTTGCAGATTAAACTGCTGGTACATTTTGAACTCGTATCAACCTCAAGCTGAACATTAAAATGGTATAAAATACCGACAGATTGTTAGGTAAGACACATATGCAACAGTTAGGTATCTTTATTTCGAAACGTTTCGCCTACACAGTAGGCTTCTTCAGTCGAGTACAGAAAAGTTGATAGAAGCAGAAGATACTTGAAGACGATGTAATCAGTCCATCGTCTTCAAGTATCTTCTGCTTCTATCAACTTTTCTGTACTCGACTGAAGAAGCCTACTGTGTAGGCGAAACGTTTCGAAATAAAGATACCTAACTGTTGCATATGTGTCTTACCTAACAACCTCAAGCTGTTATCCTGCATAAATAGGTCAGATAATAATATACATCAAAGTAATACATTAAACTCAAGTAACAATGATGACTCAATCTGCCTTTAAATTCTGCAAAACTAACTTTATATGAGAATTAAAATAATTACACCGTTACTCATATTTAAGATGGTAGTAAATTGGAATTAATATTTGGGTAATGTATTAATGTTGGTGCAACTAATGTGACATTTTATTGTGGCGATGTTTCGCTCTCCAGGAGCTTTATCAAGCCATTACAAACAATACATGGACACAGAGGGTATATATAGGCAAAGAGTGAGGTGTAATACTAGTGGTAGTAGTAGTAATAATATTAGTTATAGTAGTATTAGTAGTAATACAATATGGTAGAACAGTCAACTTGCACATGAGTAAAAGGTTAGAAAAACTATTACTTGGGAAGCATAAAAATATGTTAGATAAATATTTCTGTTGGTGGTTGGATCTGAGAAGATCTGTTTCAGTGTTCCTCCTCTGTTATGTTCTTGTGTAGTATTAACAACAGAGACTATGTGTTAACAGGATTTATTGTTTTAAGGAGGATTTTTGCTAATACTTTATATACCCTCTGTGTCCATGTATTGTTTGTAACGGCTTAACAAAGCTCTTGGAGAGCGAAACGTTGCCACAATAAAATGTCACATTAGTTGCACTTGTGTCCTTTTACCTAAAATATTTTGGTAAGTATATATGTCTAAGATAAACCAATTTTAAGTTTGAGGTAAGTTACCTGACCATTTAAGTTCCTGAGCAGTAAGTAAAATCTACTACCGAAAATTCCATTAAACTCTTAACTAAGCATTACCATCACATTATTTTAAATAGTTCAGATAAAAAAGCAGCTAAAAATTATGTCGTTTTTGAGCGCATTAATTTAATAGTCATTTTTTGTCTGGCTCAGAGACTATATCCAGCACACTATTTATTCTCTTTAAAAAAATAAGATAAAGAACTGAACGATAACCCAAAAAAAAAACTCTGCCACTAACCTCTTAACACCAAGGAAACTAATTATTAATTCTTCATCATGTACTTAACATCAGGTACGTTGGTATTTTCCTTTACGTTCTTGATTAACACCTTGAATGCTGTTCATCCCGCATCATGTACTTAACATCAGATATGTTGTCATTCTCCTTCACATTCTTTATAGTCAGGAATGTTGTTCATTCCTCATGTACACAGCACAGGTATGCAGGTCATTAGTAATGTTCACAACTTGAGTCTAGTTCATTCCTCAACATGTTCATAATAACAGTCATGTTCATCTCTCATCAAGTACGCAGCATCAGACATCAAATATGTTGGTCATCTTCTATTATGTACTAAACATCGGACACGTAGCCAATATTTATCTCTTTGTCAGGATTAACTTATGTGATGTGTATTTATCACGTTATCAAGATTAACTTATGTGATGTGTATTTATCACGTTATCAAGATTAACTTATGTGATGTGTATTTATCACGTTATTAAGATTAACTTATGTGATGTGTATTTATCACGTTATTAAGATTAACTTATGTGATGTGTATTTATCACGTTATTAAGATTAACTTATGTGATGTGTATTTATCACGTTATTAAGATTAACTTATGTGATGTGTATTTATCACGTTATCAAGATTAACTTATGTGATGTGTATTTATCACGTTATTAAGATTAACTTATGTGATGTGTATTTATCACGTTATCAAGATTAACTTATGTGATGTGTATTTATCACGTTATCAAGATTAACTTATGTGATGTGTATTTATCACGTTATCAAGATTAACTAATGTGATGTATATTTATTTACGTTAACACTTTTTGTTATGTATTTAGAGGTAGGATAAAGTGGTTATTGTCTTTGCAGTGTGTTGGGGAACTTGAGTGACTCTGAACTCGTGAACTTGGCAACATTCCAGACAGCAAAGGTAACATGTAGAATTGAGAGTGACTCAGCTAGTTAGCAAAGGAACCTCAACACAAATATATTTACGACAACGTAAAATATACACATATCTGTTATGTTAATAAGAAACAAGTAAGTAAGTAAGTAAGTAAGTAAGTAAATTTATTCAGGTATACACAATACAGTTACATAGAATTATCATACAGAGCAGCATATGTGTAGAGAACCTGGGATAACCCAAAAAAGTCAGACAGAGTGACTTATTTCCATTCCATAACTCAAAGAAAACTTTCTACCATAGGCAGATGTTGACAATTTAGAATGAACTATAATAATTTGAATTATGAGATTATAAAAACAATGACTTCAGAAATAATGACTTCGGTCCGACTTGCCCAAGTCGGACCGAAACGTCGTGGTAAGCTCCTCTCTTCTGTGTGCGGGTTACTTGTGTATCGTTCCAGTCACGGTATTGTGCCTTTTTTGCTATTAAGTATAATATAACATGGTGTATAATAATACCAATATGAATAATATAACAGGGTGTATAATACACCAGTGTGTATAATATACCAGGGTGTATAATATACCGGGGTGTATAATATACCAGGGTATATAATTTACCAGGGAGTATAATAATACCAGGGTGTGTAATACACCAGGGTGCATAATACCAATGTGCATAATATACCAGGGTGTATAATATACCAGGGCGTATAATATATCAGGGTGTATAATATACCAGGGTGTATAATATAAAAGTGTATAATGTAAAAGGGTGTACAATATACCAGGGTGAATAATATATCAGGGTGTATAATATACTAGGGTGTATAATATATCAAGGTGCATAATTTACCAGGGTGTTTAAAATACCAGGGTGTATAATATATCATGGTGTATAATATACCAGGGTGTACAATATACCAGGGTGTATAATACCAATGTGTATAACATACAAGGGTGTATAACATACCAGGGTGTTTAATATATCAGGGTGTATACTAAACCAGGGAGTATAATATACAAGGGTGAATAATATACCAGAGTGTATAATATATCAGGGTGTATAATAAACCAAGGTATATAATATACCAGGGTGTATAATATACCAGGGTGTACAATATACCAGGGTGTATAATAAATCAGGGTGTATAATATTCCAGGGTGTATAATATACCAGGTTGTATATTATACCAGGGTGTATAATATACCAGGGTGTATAATATACCAGAGTGTATAATACACGAGGGTGTATAATATACCAGGGTGAATAATATACCAGGGTGCATAATACACCAGGGTGTATAATATACCAGGGTGTATAACATACCAGGGTGTATAATATACCAGGGAGTATAATATACCAGGGTGTATAATAAACCAGGATGAATAATATACCAGGGTATACAATAGAGCAGGGTGTATAATATACCAGGGTGTATAATATATCAGGGTGTATAATAAACTAGTGTGTATAATATACCAGGGTGTACAATATACCAGGGAGTATAATATACCAGGGTATAAAATATACCAGGGTATAAAATATACCAGGGTGTAAAATATACCAGGGTGTATATTGTAACAGAGTGTATAATATACCAGGGTGTATAATATACCAGCATGTATAATATACCAGGGTGTATAATAATACCAGGGTGTATAATATACTAAGGTGTATAATATACCACGGTGTATAATATGCCAGAGTGTATAACATAAGAGCGTGTACAATGAACCATGGTGTATAATATACCAGGGTGTATAATATACCAGGGTGTATATTATACCAGGGTGTATAATATACCAGGGTGTATAATATACCAGGGTGTATAATATACCAGGGTGTGCAATATACCAAGGTGTACAATATACCAGGGTGTATAATATACCAGGGTATATAATATACCAGGGTTTAAAATATACCAAGGTGTATAATATATTAGGGCGTATAATATACCAGGGTGTATAATATACCAATGTGTATAATATACCAGGTTGTATAATATACCAGGGTGTATAATAAACCAGGGTGTATAATATACCAGGGAGTATAACATACCAGGGTGTATAATATACCAGGGGGTATAATATATCAGGGTATATAATATAGCAGGGTGTAAAATATACCAGGGTGTACAATATACCAGGGTGTATAATATACCAGGGAGAATAATATACCAGGGTGTACAATATACCAGGGTGTATAAAATACCAGGGTGTATAATATACCAGGGTGAATATTATTCCAGGGTGTATAATATACCAGGATGTATAATACACCAGGGTGTATAATATACCAGGGTGTATAATAAACCAGGGTGTATAATATACCAGGGTGTACAATATACTAGGGTGTATAATATACCAGGGAGTATAATATACCAGGGAGTATAATATACCAGGGTGTATAATAGTCCAGGGTGTATAATATGCCAGGGTGTATAATATACCAGGGTGTACAATATATCAGGGTGTATAATATACCAGGGTGTATTAAGCACCAGGGTGTATAATATATCAGGGTGTATAATATACCAGGGTGTATAATAAACCAGGGTGTATAATATACCAGGGTGTATAATATACCAGGGTGTATAATATACCAGGGTATATAATATACCAGGGTGTACAATATACCAGGGTGTATAATATACCAGGGTATATAATATACCAGGGTGTATAATATACCAGGGTGTATAATATACCAGGGTGTATAATATACCAGGGGGTATAATATACCAGGGTGTATAATATACCAGGGTGTATAATATACCAGGGTGTATAATATACCAGGGTGTATAATATACCAGGGTGTATAATATACCAGGGGGTATAATATACCAGGGTGTATAATATACCAGGGTGTATAATATACCAGGGTGTATAATATACCAGGGTGTATAATATACCAGGGGGTATAATATACCAGGGTGTATAATATACCAGGGTGTATAATATACCAGGGTGTATAATATACCAGGGGTATAATATACCAGGGTGTATAATATACCAGGTGTATAATATACAAGGGTGTATAATATACCAGGGTGTATAATATACCAGGGTGTATAATATACCAGGGTGTATAATATAACCAGGGTGTATAATATACCAGGGTGATAATATACCAGGGTGTATAATATACCAGGGTGTATAATATACCAGGGGGTATAATATACCAGGGTGTATAATATACTCTCACCTCTACACTCCTCTCTTCTTCAGGTGCACATGCACTTATTACGACCCACTTTCTGCATCCGACCCTTATTTTAATCCACTTAATCCTTGAATTTATACATTTATATTCCCTCTTTACATTCCATAACTGATCCTTCAACATTATTGCTACTCCTTCCTTAGTTCTAACTCTCTCAGATACTCCTTACTTTATCCCATTTATTTCTCCCAACTGAAACTCACCTACCCCCTTCAGTTTTGTTTCGCTTAGACCAGGACATCCAACTTCTTTTCATTTATAACATCACCCACACTACATTCACGCATATCAGGCATCCCAGTTTTGTAAAGTTTATCTTCTCTTTTTTATTATTTTCTACAGGAGAAGGGATAACTAGCCCATTGTTCCCGGTATTTTAGTCGCCTCATACGACACGCATGGCTTACAGAGGAGAATAGGGGATAGAGTAAATAAAGAAGAACAAGAACTATTAAGAAAAAGAAGAAAAACCTAGATGCATATTTTATGTATATATATATATATATATATATATATATATATATATATATATATATATATATATATATATATATATATATATTATATATATATATATATATATATATATATATATATATATATATATATATATATATATATATGTACATTTATATATATATATATATATATTATATATATATATATATATATATATATATATTATATATATATATTATATATATATGTACATTATATATATATATATATATATATTTTATATTTTATATATATATAATATATATATATATATATATATATATAATATATATTTATATATATAATATATATATGCCATGCCTGTGTAGAGTGACCTAAATGAAATTGGAAGTAGCAAGAAATTCCTGTTCATGAGACAAAAGAGGGACAGCAGCAATCCTACCAACATGTAAAACAGTTACAGTCTTCTGTTTCACACTCACGTAGCAGGATGGTAGTACCTCCCTGGGTGGCTGCTGTCTACCAACCTGCTACTTACTAATGTATTCGTGTGCTGATATATTCTTGTGCATATGAATATGTGTATATTAGAACGTGACTATATATAATTACCTCTTTGTGGTTGCAGGGGTCGATTCATAGCTCCTTGCCCCTCCTCTTCTATGGTCCCTGCTAGGTTCACTCTCTAACTCCTCCATGAGCTTTATTGTATCTCATCTTAAAGCTATGTATGGATGCTGCCTCCTCTACATTACTCTCCCGATTATTTCAATTTCTGACAACTCTGTGATTGAAAAAATACTTCCTAACATCCCTGTGACTCATCTGAGTCTACAACCTCCAGTTGTGACCTCTTGTTTCCGTCTCTCATCTCTGAAACATCCTGTCTCTATCAACCTTGATAATTCCTCTCAGTATTTTATATGTCGTTATTATGTTTACCATGTTCCCACTGTCCCTCCTGTCCTCCAGTGTCGTCGGGTTGATTTTCCTTAACTTGTCCTCTTAGAAGTTAAGGAACTAGTCTTGTTGCAAACGTTTGCACATTCTCTGATTTATTGATGCGCTTGTTCAGGTGTGTGTTACATACTGTTGCTGCATACTCAGTATTGGCCTGATGTACACTGTGTACAGAGTTTTGAAGGATTCCTTACTAAGATGCCAAGAAGCTATTCTTAGGTTTACCAGGTGCCCATGCAGCAGTTATTTGGTTGATGTCCGCCTCAGTAGATATGCTCGGTATTATACTCACCAAAGATCCTTTTCCTTGAGTGAGGTTTGTAGTCTTTGTGCCCCTGGCCTGTATTCAGTCTGCGGTCTTCTTTGACCTTCCCCAATCTTTATGACTGGGAAAGATCAGCATTATTGAGGAAGGCTAGCAGCCAGTTGTTAGTCCAGGCTTACTGCCTGTCTAGATCCATTTGTAGTTCTGCTAGATAATATCCACTTGAATTTTCCACATCAGCTTCGCGTCGTGTGCAAAAACGGACACCTCAGAATCTATCCCTTCTGTTAAGTCATTCACATGTACCAAAAACAGCACCAGCCCTAGGACTGTCCCCTGTGGATTCTTGATCGTAACAGGCGTCCACTCTGACACCTAGTCATGTACCATCATTCGCTGTTTCCTTCCTGTCAGGTATTCTCTGATCCATTGCAGAGCCTATCCTGTTATTTCTGCCTACTCCTCTAGCTTTTGCACTAATCTCCTCCCTTACTTTTGTCACCTTGTCATAAAACTCCATTAAGTTTGTGATACAAAAGTTCTCTCTGAAACCGTGCTATTTACAGTGTATAAACTCGTTTCTTTCTAGGTGTTCCACTAGTCTTTTCCTGATTAGCTTCTCCAAGACTTTGCATACTATACATGTCTGTAGTTTAATCTTACCTGCATGTCTCCTTTCTTAAAGACTACTGTCTTCCATACCTCTTTTATAGTATCGCTTCACCCATCCTACTTGTGTTGCTTCCCTCTTCATTTTTAACTCTACAATGTATTCGAAGCTCAGGATCACGTTATCACTGTCTCCGAGGTTTTATGTGTGATGTCCCCAATGTCTGAACTGCTCAATGTGAATATGAGGTCCAGCCTTGCTGGTTCATCATCTTTCAATCTGGAAGTGTCCCTAACATTTTGATGTATGATGCATGGAAAAAGTAATTTAAATTTTTGTCATATACAGCCCATTGTTATAAAGAAAGACCCTTCATAATGGAATAATAGCAGATATTAGGGTATGATCAGCAGCGTCATTATAATACCGACAAGTTGATGAATAAGTCTCATGCTCAACACTTTGGTGTCTTTATTTACTAAAGGTTTCGCTTTCACATTAAGCTTCTTCAGTTATGTAAAGAGGAGAAGTTTCTGTTGCTTCTAATTTAGTCACCCAAATAGCCCTTATTTAGGAGAGAACAAACTTGTGACGACGTTTCAGTCAAACTTGTCAGTAGACAATGATGGTTCATGTTGGATCAAAACGTAATTATAAGTTTCTTTCCGCTAAGATTAAGCTGTCAACTATTTGTGTATCACTTCAGCCACAGCTCTGCTACTTTTTATTTTTGGGTCACTTCTGAAGAAGTGTCCAGTGTGGGCGAAATGTTTCGGAAATAAAATGAAGTAACAGTTGGAGGTCGAACCTATGGCAGGCGAGTCCTATAACTCTCAGGCCAGTGTGTTAACCACTACACCAAGCCGTCTTAAGAAGATTCATGCAACTAGGAATATTTCTATACACAATGGGAATCCATGCATGAGTCTCACACCAGTATGGCTGAGGCGTGCTCTAGCTCTAAGCCCATCCATTATGTGATTTGCTTGAAGTCACGTTATGATGTTATTGTGAGTCATGACAGTGGGTCCGAGGGGCACTTGAGAGAGAGCGCCACAGCCATGCTGATGTGAGATTTGTCTCCATAAATAAACACTACGTTTGTGGTCACAGTTTGTTCCATGTTAACATTTCTGTGGTGTAAAGAAATATATCTAGTTTGACGAATCATGTTAGGTCGACATGGACAAACGGTTAACATATTGGCCTGCGAGTTTAAGGTCTCGGATCGAGTCCCATCCATTGGGTGATCTCTTTACAATAGTGTTATTACGATTTCGTTAGTCATGTGTCTTATTTATCATGATTAGCAGCAGTAACTCTTACGTCATGTTACTAACTTTATTAGTCAAGGTATTGGCGTATCTCACCTTTATTATTCAAGTTATTGGCGTATCTTACCTTTATTAGTCAAGGTATTGGCGTATCTCACCTTTATTAGTCAAAGTATTGGCGCATCTCACCTTTATTAGCCAAGGTATTGGCGTATCTCACCTTTATTAGTCAAGGTATTGGCGTATCTCACCTTTATTAGTCAAGGTATTGGCGTATCTCACCTTTATTAGTCAAGGTATTGGCGTATCTCACCTTAATTAGTCAAGGTATTGGCTTATCTCACCTTTATTAGTCAAGGTATTGGCGTATCTCACCTTTATTAGTCAAGGTATTGGCGTATCTCACCTTAATTAGTCAAGGTATTGGCTTATCTCACCTTTATTAGTCAAGGTATTGGCGTATCTCACCTTTATTAGTCAAGGTATTGGCTTATCTCACCTTTATTAGTCAAGGTATTGGCGTATCTCACCTACTCATATATGGTTCAGACTTGCTGTCCTTTACAGAGTATTAAATGACTTAATAAATAACGTAACAAAGTGAAGACAAAAAATGCCAATTAAAAACCATAAAAGAGTAAACAGCGTCCAATCTGAATATACGTATAATCATGATGCTGTCAGGTCCTAAGATGAAGGGATCACTGTATGATGGTGCTCACCTGCCTCACAAATTTCCAAGAGATTAAATAAATTAATACTTCTTTGGGCACATATTTGAGCTTTTTTGAATCAAAATTTATAATAAAAACTGGAAAAAATGTTTCTTTAGCGTTTCCATTATTAGTGAGACTTATATTTTGAACAGCACTTACACCAAGGAAAGTGTTCTCCAGAATTTGTCTTTTCGGCAGGTGTTGGTAAATATGCTGGGGATGAGCGTGGATATCGGCCTGCTCCTGGACAACCTGTTACTGCATGGATATTACTTCATGGATGGTCATGCACTCGATTTCGATGTTTTTGGAGATGGGAATTACCAGTAAGCATCCAGTAAGATGTAGAATACTCTCTCTCTCTCTCTCTCTCTCTCTCTCTCTAGCTCTCTCTCTCTCTCTCTCTCTCTCTCTCTCTCTCACACACACACACACACATGTTAGGAAGTATTTCTTCAGTCATAGAGTAGTCAAGCCTTGGAATAGCCTAGAAAGTGAAGTAGTGGAGGCGGGAACCATACATAGTTTTAAGGCGAGGTATGATAAAGCTCATGGAGCAGGGAGAGAGAGGACCTAGTAGCAATCAGTGAAAAGGCGGGGCCAGGAGCTATGACTCGACCCCTGCAACCACAAATAGGTGAGTATAGGTGAGTACACACACACACACACACAAACACACACACACACACATACACACACACACACACACACACACACACACACACACACGAGATGAACAGTGGAAAATGATTACATAAAATTCAAAGAATGTTGTACAACAAGAACATATCTCCCACTCTTAGAAAAACACATTATTGTTATAATATAAAGTAGAGCTAAACCAAGAATAGTCATAGAGCGCCGTCAGAAAAACCATAACAAATCATTGAGGAAAATAATATTCCAAAGATTGAAGTGTTTAGCAGGAAAGGCATAACTTTGTACACATAACTAACAACACTTAAATTTCTTTACACAATTATAAATATTAAATTATTTGCACAATACTGCACTATAATATGAGGTGACCCTGAGTCACTTGGAAACATGTCAGTAGCCATGGTCACACCGCAATGTTTTACCTTAACCTGAGGTGCTTGACAGGAGCCGACATGTGTCCAGCATCATGGTAGTGGGTCAGGGTTATGTCCACGACGTTTGTGATAGTGCCAACATGACATTGCACATCAGTAGTGGGTCGGGTTATGTCCAGGAGTCTGTGATAGTCCCAAAATGACACATGCACATCAGTTTTGTTTGGGGACTTCTGGTGTCTGAGTTTGCGCCCCTGCCTATCCCGGGAGTTACCTGGAGGGTTTTCCCGGAAAATCAACGCCCCCGCGGCCGGCACGACCGGTTCCGGGGATCAGGCCGTAACCGGGCTGTTACTGGGCCGAACGTAATCCAGCGTGAACTACAGCCTGGCTGACCGGCACCGTTTTTTAAGACTTTAAGTAGATTAAAGTAAGATCTGTATTTTGGTGTGTCAATAGGGTGCTCTTACCAACCCCAAAGGGTTTGGGGATGCTACCCCCAAAAATTTTGTATTGATAAACCCCACTGGATGGCAAAAGTCTACTTGAAGATACCAGATGTTGCACAAATGTATGCCTAATTTTCTTTGATCTTTCCGGGCTTGGGAAAAATGCAGTTAGGTCCAAGAATATGTTATCGGTGTGTCCCCCGAGTTTAGTAGTGTACTTTGGCAGAAAAAGAACCTTTGTTTTTCCCTGTTTACAACCAATCATTTCGGTCCCTGGAAGACTTTTGGGAAACGTAATTTGGTTACGATGCTGCTTGACCGAGGGTGTCAGGGCGTCGGTATGTGAGGGGGGGTCCCCCTTTTCAGTTTGACATTTTCGATGTGACACTGTGCCCTCCTGCTTCTCGTTTTCTATTGAGTATTGGGAGCGGGACAAACTATAGTTCAAATTTCCCCCAAATTTTCCCAAAAATTTTAAATGGGGGGGAAACTGCTCCGCTTCTGGGTGATCCCCAGGCTTTTATGACAGTCTTTGCTCCTGGGGCCCGCGGTTTCCCGGGCAAGCACTACTGTAGTTATCACAGGCCCCAGTCCCGTGTTGCCCTAACAGAGGAGACATTTTGGGGTAAGTGTGTGGGACAGGTGGGGGACTTCCTAAACCCACCCCTTTCCCTTTAAAGGGGAAAACGAGAAAACTGGGGGCAGGGGGGACATGGGGGGACATGTAAAAAAATATAAAATACTTTAGGGATCGTTTAAAGGGGGACAGGGCAAGAGTTCCAGAGTGGGAACAAAACGGGGCCCAGTTTGGAAATTGAAGACAAGATGAGTCACAGAGTGTTAGGAAGTTTTTTTTCAGACACAGAGTTGTCAGGAAGTGAAATAGTCTGAAGGGGGGTGGTGAAAGCAAGATCCATACAAAAATTTAGAAAGAGGTATGTGAGCTACGGAGCAGGGAGAGGGTGACCTAGTAGCGCAGGTGAAGGGCGGGGCCAGGAAATTGCATGACCCCTGCAACACAATTAGGTGAGTGCAATGGTCTGTTTTCCCCTCTCAGGACCCGGGGAGGGATTTTCTGGGGTTTTCTGGGAGCCCCTCGTCTACATCTGAAACCTTCTTGAATCCCTTTGCTGAGTTCTTCACGTGCTTCCCGGTGGTTTCTGTGATCTCTCCCTTTCCCTTTCCCCAACCTGTGTGTGTGTCTGTACTCACTTTAAATTTTATACCTAGTTTTTGTTCAGGGGTCGATTTACAGTCTTTGGGGTGGTGTGTGTGTGGTGTGTGTGTATCACCTATTTGTATCACCCTTTTTTGGTTGCAGGGGTTTGAGTCCTAGCTCCCGGCCCCCCCCTTTACAGGTTGCTTAGGCCCCCTCTCTCCCCGTCCATGAGCTTTTTTCAAAACCTGTTTAAAACTGGTTGGTTCGGGCCCCCACTACGCATTTTTTAGGGTATTCCCCTGCCTTCAACTCTATGACTGAGAAATACTTCTACTATCTCTCTGCTCATCTGTGTCTTCAACTTCCCAAATTTAGGCCTCGTGTTTCGTGTCCCTCCCCGGAACTCCGTCTTTTCCCCTTGTCTATTCCACGCAGTATTTTTTTATGTCGTTTATGTCTCCCCTGGCCCTTGTCTCCAGTGTGGTCAGGCCCATTTCCCCCAATCTTTCCCCATAGGACATTCCCCTTTGCTCCGGAACTAACCTTGCGCAAACCCTTTTTACTTTCTCTAGTTTCTTGACGTGTTTATCAAAGGGGGTTCCAAAAAAAGGTGCTGCTACTCCAGTATGGGCCTGACATACACGGTGTACAGTGTCTTGATGATTCCTTACTAAGGTTTCGGAATTGCTGTTCTCAGGTTTGCCAGACGCCATGTGCTGCTGCTTATCTGATTGATGTGTGCTTCCGGAGACAGGCTCGGTGTTATAATTCACCCAGATCTTTCCTTGAGTGAGGTTTGCAGTCTTTGGCACCTAGCCTATACTATGTCTGTGGTCTTCTGTGCCCCTCCCCCATCTTCATGACTTTGCATTTGGCAGGATTAAATTCGAGAAGCCATTTGCTGGGAACAGGTGGTCCAGTCTGTCAGGTTCTCTTTGAAGTCCTGCCTGGTCCTCATCAGATGTAATTCTCCTCATTAACTTCACTCATCTGCAAACAGGACACTTCTGAGTCATAACCCTTCACGCATGTCGTTCACCATTACAAAAATAGCACTGGTCCTAGGACAGACCCCTGTGGGAACCGCTCCGCTCGTCACAGGTTGCCCACTGTGATTCATCATTACGTACCATGACTCGTTGTTGATCCCTGTCAGGTATTCTCTGATCCATTGAGTGGCCCTTCCTGTTTATGCGCCTGATTGCTTCTAGCTTCTGCACTAATCTCATTGTGAGGAACTTGTGGTCAAAGGCCTTCTTGCAGTGCCAAGAAGATGCAATCAACCCACCCCTCTCTCTCTTGTCTTACTTCTGTTTTTTTATCATAAACTCCAGAAGGTTTGTGTGACACAGGGATTTGCCTTCAGTGAAATCCGTGCTGGTTGGCATTTTACTTCCTGTTCCGTTCCAGGCTGCTACACCGCTCTCTCCTGATAATCTTCATCCCATAATTTTGCATACTATACACGTCAATGACACAGCAGGATCTATTTGTTTAGTGCCTCTTTTTCTGTCTCCTTTTTTTAAAAATGGGAACTAACATTTGCCGTCTTTCCCATACCTCAGGTAGTTGCCCAGTTTTCCTGGGATGTGTTGAAGAATTGTGGTAAGTGGGCCGCACAACATATCTGCTCCCTCTCTAAGGACCACGGGGAGTTGTTGTCTGGTCCCACTTGCCTTTGAGATATCGATGTCCTTAGCAGTTTCTTCACTCCTCCTCTTTGTATGTATGTCGTACAACACTTGTGGTGTATTCTTTGCTGGTGTCCCCCGTCTGGTCTGTCCCCCAGGCAGTCTTCCTGTCTTACTGTATATACTTCCTTAAATCTCTTGTTTAGCTCCTCACATACCTCTTGATCGTTCTTGTGAGTTCTCTCCACCTTCTTTCATCGACTTATCACCTGGTCCTTGGACTGTGTCTTCCTCCTAATGTGGCTATACAGCAGTTTCGGGGTCAGATTGACTTTCGATGCTATGTCGTATTTCATTACTGTCGCTGGGCCTCCCTCCTTAGCTGTGCATACTGTTTTGGCTCTTTACTAATCTCCTTGTTTTCCTGGGTCCTATGCCTCCTGCTACCTTTTCCATTCTCTGTTTGCATTAGTTTTTGCCTCCTTACACCTTCGGGTAAACCCAAGGACTCGTTTTGGTCTTCCTATTATTTCCGTTTCCCTTGGGACAAAACTTTCCTCTGCCTCCTTGCAATTTTTGCCTCATATTTCCATCATCTCGTTTTCTGATTTTCCTACCATTTCTCTGTCCCACTGAAACCTCATTGCAGGAAGTTTCTCATACCTGTGTAGGTTCCCCCCGTTTATAGTTTGGCCTGCCCCTTCAGTTCCTGTTTTACTTCTCCACTTGTAACCTCTACTATATAGTCAAAACTCAGAACCACATGGATCGCTAGCTCCATGGGGCCCTCTCCATAATGATGTCCTCAATGTCTGAACTGCTCAGGGTGGACACTGATCCAAGTCTTGCTGGCTCCATTTCCTCCCCTCTCTCTCTGGTTGTGTCCCTGATTGTTGATGCATGAAGGGTTTCCAAGTACCACATCCATCATCTTGGCCTTCCCATGTTTTCGGGTACCCCCATGTGGCTCACAGGTTTTCCCAGTCCGATCTCCCTGTGGTTGAATCGCCATTACCATGTAACTTTGCTCTGCGCGAGTGAGCTCTTCTTGCAACTC